AGGGCAAACAGGAACTAGCACCTTTAACTGGAGCAAGTTTTCACCTTCCCTGACCTTGACAATCTCCCAGCGAAGACATTAAAAACAGCAAGAGTTGAAATGCGGCCAGTAAGAGAAAAAAAAAAAGGATTAAAGAATGATGTACCCCAGACATTGCACATACTTGTAGAGTCTGATGGAAAGAGAGCTGCGTTGTTATTTCTTACCACTCCTATTCAATATTTATTGAGTTCAAGGATCACCTCATTGGACGTCCTCAGAGGAGTCAACACAGCGATCTAACAGGTGTGTGTATGAAGCAATCTAGACATGGTGGGAAGACACATCCCTAATTGGTAAGAAGACTTCCGCATCCCGGCAGTCTTGGCCCAATTCCCTGATATCTCCTGTTAATAATACTTTTCCCCCTTTTATTAATATTTATACCTTGCCCACTGAGGTGATTTCATCCTTAAGATTGTACCGCGACAACACAGAGCATCAGACTTCAGGCCACTCCACAAATTTCCCATTGTACTTCAAAACCTCAAAGCCGACTGCCCCTTAGAGGAGTTAAGAGATGTTTCTAACAACCCCTTTTTTTTTTTTTTTTTTTAATTTAAATGACAGCTCTCTAAAAAGAGGCCTGGTTTTCCTTTTCCAAGGAGTTCCCTAGTGGTCCCTGTGGCCACTGCGCTGAATTACTTGGTCCAAATGCTTCCTGATAATGTTTTACAGCCTTTAGCCCAATTGGACTAGTGATCCTGGGCCTACCCGGTCATCTCAAAGGCCTCGTCTTTCAATCCTGATGAGCAGTGAAGGGGTAAATGGGGCATCAGCTTTTTACAAACCTGTTCATCTTATTAATACCGCAGGAGGGTTACTTGATAACCAATTGTGTTTTCTTTGTAAACTCTACTTCAGAACCAGCAGCACGGCTTTATTGCAAGAAATGCTACAATGGGATTGTGACTCTTTAGATTAAAATTAGAATTAAACAAAATCTTAAAATATTGTTCTTTTGTCGGACTAGCCACATTTCTTTCACGTGCTCAATAGTTCACTGTAGCTAGTGGCTACCATGTTGTCAGCACCGACAGAGAAAACATTTCTATCACTGTAGAAACTTCTATTGGTCGGCACTTTTATAGAGTATAAGTTTAAAAATGTTTCTGCCCTATTGGTTCTTCCCCCAAATACTTAATTGTCATTGAAGGACATGGTCTTAAAAGAACTTAAACCTCTCCTTGGTTTTTGAAAAAAATCCAATTTTTTTTTTCCAAAATGTATAGCGTTCCTATATATTTTTTTAAACAGATTTATTGAGATATAAATTGAAACACCCCAAAAAACTGCACGTGTATAATGTGCACAGCTTGATGAGTTTGGACATATGCATGTACCCGTGACATCATTATCACAGTCAAGGTAATAAACATGTCCATCGCCTGCAAAGATTTCCTCGTGTTCTTCTTTTCTCATGGTGAAAACACTCAACATGATCTACTCTCTTAATAAACTTTCAAGCGCATGATACCGTGTAGTTATATACGGCCCATATGTTAAAGACAAAGAGAAAGCTGGAGTTTATCATCAAGAATAATAAACAAATTGATTAGCATCATATTTCTGTTGCCGAGCTAAAGTAAAAACGTCCATCTTTATTTCCCTAATGTCACTAGAGTCTATGGTGGCTGACTAGATGACAGAAAGTTAGAAAGATTTAGAGACCAGCTAGCCTGACCCTGTGTTTTTATTGAGAACAGAAATCCAAAAACGTGAAGGGACTTGCCCCAAATCACAGAGCCTTAATGGCAGTGATAGGGCCAGGAACCAACCAACTACGTGTCCAGTCCGGGGCCTCCCTTAGCACCTGCGTTCCCTCAAATCAATAACGACTCAGTTTCAGCCAACATATCCCCAGAACAATATCCATAATCAAAATTAGCTGAAAAAGAGTTGCTATTCACTTGCCTTATACACCAAACTCTGATTCACGGATTTTCTCATTATTTTGGGGGAGTCGAGAATGGGCCCCTTTTAATTTAAAACAATGCATTGGAACACGTATCTTTTGAAGGAGGGATATCATTCAGGCTCTTTCAGGCCTTCGAGTTTCAAAGATGGATAATAATACTTGCTACTGAACCACCTTCGACGTGTGGGCTAAGAGGACTAACGAGAGCATATGGAAGAGTCGGGGACAATCATTCGTTATGTTTAATCAGCTGAAAGAGCTTTACGGCCACCGTGATGGATACAGACCGTCAGTGCTGGGATGTGAAGGAATGTTTGGAATTGCAGTCCTGGGATTACCGGGTCCCGTCAGAACGTAAATCATTTAACAGTGTGCAAATGACTCAACAGGGACACTGACCAGGGGCTTCCACAATAGATCATTTCCACTCTCACTGTATTTGTTTCCAATCCCACCTGAGCACATTGGCGTGCACTTGTTAGCGTGTTGCCGTGTGTGTGCTTTTCCGTCAAACATTTACGCCTATGTCGCTGCCAATACTCAACGGCAGGCTAATATTTAACATCCGCCATCTAATCTGCAACTGAACACCAACCATCAGAAAAGAACCCTTTGAAGTGTGAACATAGCTTTTAATTCGCTGTTTGATTCATCTGCTAAATGAAAATGTCTCTATCTGTGTGGGGATGGGGGGAAGGAGGAAAGTCTTTTATTTTATTTTTACACAGCCCATTCCATGCTACCAGGAGGTACTGTTGGTGAATATTAACTGCAATGTACTATTATCCACGGGAATGCTACCAAAAATGCACCATTAAATGTCTAATTCGATTGACCCAAGTTCTCTCTCTTCCCTCAGGGCAAACAGGAACTAGCACCTTTAACTGGAGCAAGTTTTCACCTTCCCTGACCTTGACAATCTCCCAGCGAAGACATTAAAAACAGCAAGAGTTGAAATGCGGCCAGTAAGAGAAAAAAAAAAAGGATTAAAGAATGATGTACCCCAGACATTGCACATACTTGTAGAGTCTGATGGAAAGAGAGCTGCGTTGTTATTTCTTACCACTCCTATTCAATATTTATTGAGTTCAAGGATCACCTCATTGGACGTCCTCAGAGGAGTCAACACAGCGATCTAACAGGTGTGTGTATGAAGCAATCTAGACATGGTGGGAAGACACATCCCTAATTGGTAAGAAGACTTCCGCATCCCGGCAGTCTTGGCCCAATTCCCTGATATCTCCTGTTAATAATACTTTTCCCCCTTTTATTAATATTTATACCTTGCCCACTGAGGTGATTTCATCCTTAAGATTATACCGCGACAACACAGAGCATCAGACTTCAGGCCACTCCACAAATTTCCCATTGTACTTCAAAACCTCAAAGCCGACTGCCCCTTAGAGGAGTTAAGAGATGTTTCCAGGGATCTTCCCGTGAGAAATGTGCTCCCATGTAGCATCAAAACCAACTCCACCTTTGCCTCTTCTGACTTCTCTGGCTACCCAGAGGTGGCTTCTTTTATGAGTTTCTGCTCAAGCAGAAGAAATAAACTGAAGGAAACCCACAAAAGGTACATGAAAAAATCCCACACTTTCCTGGAGCTCTGGGTTTTCGTTTGAGGATAAAATGGGAAAACAGGAGAAGCAGAAGTCTCTTCCAGAAGATGCAGGGCAGTTTCCATCTATCTGGCGTATGCAGAGGCGGCGGTGTGACATTCCCCTGTGCTTATTCAATCCAGGGCTCCGCGCTGAAGGCCCCAAGGCTCTTTGTGCCATTCAAGGAGGGGTTCTGCAGGGTGGTTTTCTGAGCCAGCATCTTGCCTGGGAATCTAGGGTGGTCCAGTGGGCATGTAGTCATTCCCTATTGAGACTACTTGGTAAGAGAGGGCTACGACGTCTTTGGGTTGCTGTGGTCATTGGGTCTGCACTTTGGGCATCTGCCTTCCTTACTACTGAATAATGTGTGCTTTCTTTGATCTTTTGAAAAATGGTATGGAAAGACAAATCGTGACCATCTGCAGGTGTGTGTACGCGTGCTTGGAGGAGGGATGGGGGTGGCCCCCTTCCTCCCACTCAGCATCGTTTTATCCCAGGTGACTAAGCGGCTGAAGGAAGAGGCCTGAGGTCATTTATCAGCAGCATCATGGGTAACAACATTCTCAGGACGATTCCCATCGGAAGGTCTCCAAGTGTTTCTAACAAATGGCCCCACGGGAACCACAAGTGGCAGGTGTTATGGATGTTCTCCAGAAGTCGTGTGAGCTGGAGGACCTCTCCGCTCTGAGGGACTCAGTGGTGGAGGTCTTCACACTCAACCAAGAATCTTAATGTAAAGCATTCCTTCATGGTCCGAAATTACAGGAATTTCAACTCTCACGTAAGATGAATGAGATTATCACATCATAAAATGCAATTGACAACCATATGGTAGGTTGAGAAGGTTTCAGTGAGGACAACGTTGCAAAGTCCACTCAGAGCCACGTGCAGGGCTGGCCCAAGGGCTTTCCCAACAAATGCTCGACAACTGCTGCCACCTTTCCTCTTACCCACAAACATCTAAAGATTATTACTAGTATTGTGCCATTCTCCTTAATATCACTTCTACTTTCACCTGAAAGTTCCACGTTCCAGTCCTGTTAGCGAGCCCAACGGCTGCGGACACTGACTAAATCACTTGCCTGCCCCGAGTTTCATTTTCCCTATCAGAAGCAGGGATAACAGTTTCTCCTCCAATTATTTTACTGGGTTTGGCGAGGCATAAATGTAGGGGTGATTTGGAAACACACTAAAAAATCAGGTTTATATTATTTAAGTCCACTCATTGGTGTCTATAGATGATCTGAACTCCACAGTTTTCCTCTGTTCTTCTGCATTTCTTAGTATTTATTGGAATATTTAGTAAGATTGTTTTTTTTTTAAAGAGATGGGCAGTGTGTGTGTGTGTGTGTGTGTGTGTTG